GCAGCCCATCTAAACTCATTTTGGGTATCCAAACTTATTCAGCCACAAGGAACAATTACTTCCATCCCTCAATGTTGTATGTATGAAATGCGGACTTTTTTAAACCTTCAGATATGTTGATACAGTTCAAGAGCAGACCTAGGCATTTTACGGCCCTTGGGCCACACCTGGCCTTTTGATTGTCCCTGTCTGAATTAGAAATCAAAAGTAAATAAATGTATACCATGCATGCAATACAACTGCATTGCTTTTATTTTGAAGGTAACTGCTATTCCATTTATGTATGTGCATATGTGCATGCCTATGTACCTTCCCAGTCCTATTGGTTTGGCCCTCCACAAGAGTCCTAGTATGTGCCCCCTTGGAAAAAATAATTCCCCACCCCTAGAGTAGCAGCCCCCAATCTTTCGGGCACCGGGGACCGATTCCCTGGAGAGAGGTTTTTCCACGGACCGGAGGGGACATGGTTTCATGGATGGGCTTTGCTTGTTTGCATGGCCTGGTTTCTGGCATGCTGTGGATCGGTGCCAGTCCACCAACTGGGGGTTGGGGACCTATGCCTTAGAGGTTGAAGCATTCTCCATCCCTGGAGAAGAAGTTTTCATTTACAACAATATAGGCACAACTTACAGGACAGTACTTCGCAGTTCAGATGTTACCAACAGTCATCCCTATGGGACTGGTTCTCTGTGGATGTTAGGCTTTTCCCCTGCATAAACATGTTGAGCAGAGTTTCACAACCTTGGTAGTTTTAAGATAGATGTGTGGACTTCAATCCTAAGAATTCCCTAGCTAGCATGTTCTCTGGGAGTTGAAGTCAACATATTTTGAAGCTGTCAAAGTAAAGAAATACTGCTCTAGAGAGTTGCATCAAAGAGAAATAAAGGAGAGGGTGTTTGAGTTGAGAATGGTGGGGATAAACCATTTTGTTATGAAAACCCAGAAGGGAAAATGAGAAAGTGTTTTCTCAAATAAAAGCTTACACAAATGCTTGATAAGAAACAATTATGAGCCTTCCTAATGAATAAAGCCCTTTTCTCCCCTAAAGTGGTCTCAGTGTAGCATTCAGAGAAATCAACTGAATTTAAAGTCTGCTTCTTTCCTAAAACAAGGGCAGGCATGTTCTGAAATCTGTCCTCTTGCAGGAAGAAAACAAAATGCCTTTCTCGTCCAAATGTCATTCTAATTTGCATATGCAAAGCTCAGAGCTGAGACCCCAAAGAGATTCCAAGGAGAATGTCAGGCGCATGATTGCTTACATTGCTAAATCATTAAGTTTCCCAAATTACAAAGTACTTTTTCAACACAGGACCCAATATATTGTAAAGGGAACATTGAAGCCAGGGTGCAAGGGGAAGCCAAAGTATGGGGAAGTTAGACAGAAAAGGAAGCGGTAATTTATCCAACTCAGCTGGGTCACCTTTCTTGGTCTCTGAGCACATCCTCAAATTATGACTGTGGAACTTATCAGACAAAGCCTTGCAATGCTGTAACATCACCAAAATAATCACTTCAGATTTCTGTTCCTGTTCTGGGCTTTGGAAAGGCTAAAGAATAACTTTTATTTCTTAAATCAGGGTTTTGCAACCTTTGCAATTTTAAAATGTGTGGACTTCAACTCCAGGAATTTCCCCATTTCCTAAATCACTCCTAAAACCTCAAAAAGTATGTCTGGCATGTTATTTATTTATTTTAGAGGGTCACAATCAGCCCGTATTTATTTATTTATTTTAGAGGGTCACACTCAGTCCTTGGCGGTCTATTTCTGTTCCAAACAGGCAGTGATGGGATTCAAATACCTGAACATACGGTTCTCTGTGTGAATGCAGGCCTGGGTCTCCATGGCCTAGAACGGACTTCAGGAAGTGACATCAACGCACTTCCGGTGGGCTATTCTAGGCCTGGGAGACCTCTTCCAGGCCTCCGAGGCATAGAACGAACTTCCAGAAGCAGCATGGGTTCAGCCGGTTCTCTGAACCCAACAAAATTTAGCTACGGTTCTACTAAACCAGTGCAAACCAGCTGAATCCCACCACTACAAACAGGGCAGAAAGGTTGAACTGAACCAATGATAAGCCATCACATATGGTTTATTTTGGTAAACTATAGTGTGTGCTTTGTAAACAATGATTTGTGGCTGAGCATGTGTGTGTATGCAGTAAATTTTGGTCACTGAACATACCAGTTATTAAAACCATTTTTTAGTGTGATGCCAACATAACTGAATAAAATTAGAAACCAGACAATTAAATGACTTTTCCTCCCACAATCAACACAATTTTAGCGAATATTTTATTTATTTATAAATCATATTTACATAGCCACCCATCTCCCAATCAAGTGACTCTGGCTAGCATACAACGTTTCTTAAACAAAAAGCTGCCTTAAGGGTTCTTTTTTGGAGGGGGGGTATGCTAGCTATTTTAATAGAACCTTCTGCATTTTGCAGAGTTAAGTTCACAAAATAGGCTTCCTTTTGATATTTTCTTCCTAATTACTGTATACCACCCTTTAATTATACGAACTATAGCTGTTTTACAAAGAAGGGTGAAGATAAAGACAACCTCCACCCCAAAGAATACAAAATCAAGTTGCAACAATGCTCCAACATTTATTCTGCCAGGCAAGATCAAAGTAAGATATATTTCTAAAAACCAGTCACATATTCATTCTTACTACACATGCTTGACCTTCATGTGAAAACTAAAGAGCCTGACTGCTGAGCTCAGCCTTGGCACATTTTTTTCAAATGTTATATTATTTATAACCTGCAGTGCTTTTGTATCCTGTAAATATCTAGAAAAAAAACTACATTGTACCACAGATTTATTAAACAAAGCCAGACAAAGAAATAGCCAGCAGTGTGATTTTATCCTTTTAATCAGTTAGGTTGAATAAACAATGCCAATGAACTGCACAAGAAGAAAGGGTTAGCATAATACCATATATACGTAATCAATTTACATCTAAAGCAGTCTGAAACACTATAAAAAACCCACTGTGACTAAAATACATATTCATTAAATTTCCATAACATTCTGGGAAATGAGAGAATGTGAATGTATTTTTTATAGTCATTTTCAGAAACAGATGCAATCAGATACCTGATGAGAAAGACTATGCCTTGTTGAAGACTATGGCAAGAGATCAAAACTTCATTAAAAATAAGCTAGTGGTCATAGATCAACAATGTTGGTAGCCTGATTCTCAAAGATTCCTGTTAGCAAGTCTAACTCGCAGCTTATTGGCTGCGCCCTATGACACATACAGGAAACAATTCAAGGACTGGAATTCCCCTTCTAAAATGTGCTTATGTGAAATGGAAACATTTCTGCTGGGATTCCCCTGGACAGAAAGCCCCTAATGTTCTTGAACACCGTGTACCTAATTGAATGGTTTTTTCTGTTTCAAAGTCTTAATTCTACCAAACCAGATTTAAAATAATGGTATTTACACTGAAATAAACACCAAGCTTGATTTTCTGCATGACCGATCACTGTTTTTCTATCTTGTGATAACCATAAGGTAGTCAGAAATTTTCCCTTTTAATTTACCCTGGACATTTTGTCCAAAAAGAAAGCTTGCTTTGACTTGGAATTCCCTAGAAGAAAAAATGTTCACATTTCCTTATTTCAAAATGCTCCTATCAACTCACTAAGCATCCTTATGTATTCCAATCTTTCAACTTCACTCATACTGAAATGAATAAATTACTGCCAGGATATCCATCTATGTGCTTTTGAGCACAGGAAAAAATCATTGGGATGCTATTACTACTTTCCTAACCATCCACCTCATGTTAATAAGCATTTTAGCCCTATTGGTGGCTCAATGGGACCTTGGAGGTCTTCTAGTCCAGCCCCCTGCTCAAGCAGGAGAACCTCTTGACACCAATCAAGTTAACCCTTGGGAAAATTAACTATGGAGCCACACGCCCCCCCTCTTAACACTGCGCTCAAAATGTGGCAAAATTCATAGTGGTACATTAAAACTTTAGCTTGAATGACTTATATAACTCAGCCAGCGTAACAAGGAATTCAGCAATGCAATATGTTTGGATTCACACCACATCTTAATCCAACTTCTGAATCTACTCATGTTCTGCATAGGCAAGGTGAGATAAAAAGGACCAATGTGTAAATACCACCATCTAAGACTTCAAACTGAGCTGGTAGAGTATATAGAGCCCATATCAAGAAGAAGCTAAGGCAGTGGTAAAAAAAAACCCCAGCTCAGAAATAATTGCTCCAGAATGACCCCTCCATATTTAAGGAAGCTGGTATCTTCTTACAGCCACTGGCGACATATAACCTGCTACTCTTAGGTCCAAATCAAGAGGGCATGGTCAAGCTGTGAAATCACTCCAGCAGAAAGCATGCAAAGCTTGCCCTCCCCTTACCCTGCAAAACCAGAGCCTGGGGGCACTGCAAACTACCAAAATCCATTTTGCAATGCATGCCTTGGATTTTCCCTTCTATTTTCTTGCCCTCTGCCCCATTCCTGGTCCTTCTGTTGCGAGTCTTCCCCCAACGTTTAAGATAAATGCAAAACACGGGCAATCTGATAAATTCCCTCCTGCCTATCTCCAAAAAGCTGGTTATTTCTCCTCCTCCTCCACAAGCATCTCCAGGTCTTGATGCGCTCATCCGTGTTGGGCAAACTGCCTACCCCACAGTCCTGCAGCCTGATCCTCGACGGTGGGTGTCTTAGCAGAATAGTAATAATAATAAAAGAATAAAAGCGAATGGAAGGCGCAGTCCCGCTAGGACTCAGGGACGTCACGATTCTTACCCCGCCCCCCCGGGGCTATTTAGAATTGTTTTTCCGATCCTGATCCAGGAATTATTCGTTTTCGAAGCTCGCACAACTCACGGGACTTTCCAAAGAGTCAATTAGAAAGACTCTACAAACAGGCATGCTTGAAGGCCATCAAGATTAGGAACATTCAGGATTCAATTGCAATTCAAATCAAGCTACTTTTCCTGAACTCGGAAACGAACCTGCAGAACCCGAATTAATTGAAAGTCAAACAAACCGGACCGCAACAAACGAGGTCATTCCGCCCTCCCACACCAGTTGGCGCATGCGCACCAAGGGAGGCAATGCCCCTTTGTTGGAACCGTCACACCGCAGGGGCCTCTTGACTAAAAGGCTCGTCCTCTGTTCTTTCCCTTCGAATGGAATGAGGGCGGAGCCATGTTTCGAGTTTCCGACTTATTTTTCAAAGGGGGGGCGGGGCTTCGGCCCAACGGCTTGGCTTGACGTCCTTCTTGATTCTCCCCTCCTCCCTCGACCACCGCCTTCGCGACGCTATATATAATAAAGTTTGCGCTCGCCCGTTGCTTTAAGACTAACCGGCGGCTGTGGGGGTAAGTGGGGCCGCGCACGCGTGGGGCGGCGTGGGCGGAGTCTGCTGGGGCGGTGTCTCTATGGACACGTTGTCTCGCGAGGGAGGGGGCGGGGGCCTGAGGTATCGGGGTGCCGTGCCTGTGAGGGGGGGGGGATGTGTGTGTGCAAATCGGGTGTACTATATGGAGTAAGCCCAAGAGCTATTTTCCACACAGTCTTAAATGATTACTCATTTTTTGGTTGCGCATAAAGCCTTGAGTTGGAACTGTGGGGCAGGTTTGCATTAACCAGAATTGTATAAGTGCAGCTGTTGTGTAAGTGCAGCTGTTGTGTAAGGGCAGGGCAAGTTGTGAACCCCGCCTCTGAGACTTGGCGCTGCCTGTTCTTTTGAGGGGACTTTGCTGATCCCCAGTGCTAAGCGAGGTTGGAGTGGTTGAGCGCTGGGAAAGAAGACCATCGGGCAATCGCAGGGCTACATCTGGAAGAAGATAATGTACCTTCACCCCTAAATAAGAGGGGGTGCTCTTGTGCAATGGCCAGAAGTGGAGCCTGATTCGAAGGAAGCTTTATCTCTATCTTTTGCCTTCTAGGTAGGGTTGGATTGTAGCTTTCATCAGTATATCCAGTGGTGAGGATTCTGGAAGCTGCACTCCAGCAGTATCTGGTGGATTATATGTTTTTGGGTACTGGATACTGGATCTGAAGATGATTGTAGTGAATTGACCAAAACCAATCTAATTACTTCTATTTGCATAGGGTTGGGTCTTTCACAGTTTCCAGTTGCCGGGGAAAATTAGGGGTACACTGGTACATCTAGAGAGGTTCATGTTGGGGAGGCTGTCTGGAGATGGTTGTACTTGGCACTGTTGAATGTGGTCTTTCCAGAAACAAGTCTGTCCTTAACTGATAAGCTTCCTAGGAGCCTTCAGGGTTTCCCTGAATACAGTTTCAAAATATTTTTTGTGAAGACTGGCAGAATTATTAGGACAAGAATATAGTGTATAATTTCTATAGAGCTAGAAAAGAAAAATGAGGTTCGAATGTCATCTTCCAGAGGTAGGATATCCGATCTTTTAGAAGATGAAATTGCTGATAACAAAAAAATTACCAGTGGGTAATCCTCAGTGCCCAAGTCACTGGGTTCAAATGGGTGTCTATACAAGTTAAAATTGACTAAAGACACACAAACATTACTGCTTTTGATCATGTTCAGGATATATTTAAGACTACTGCAATTTTAACAAAAGCTGGATATGAGCAAGATATGATTATAGCAAATGACTTTACTAGATGGTAATCTGTCTCTTCTTTTTATACAGTGATTCTAATTGTAATCATCTCAGTCATGATTTCTATAATTTAATTATATTTCCTAGCAGTCATTTCACACATTTAATTACAACAATACTGATGAAAAAGAATATTTGTAGCTCAGGGTTGAAATGACTCTTTTGTGCTCTGTGAGTTTGGTTGTTTTCTTGCAGATGTTTCATTACTCTGTAAACCACTTAGAGAGGACTGTAAAGCACTGTGAAGCGATATATAAGTCTAAGTGCTATTGCTATGGTATTACCCAAACTGGGTAACATCATTATTACCTAGTCTGGGTAATGAAAAGTCTGCAAGAAACAACCAAGCTCAGAAAGCATAAAGCCCCCCTAATTATAACAATGACATTTAGATTAGAAGTTTCCTTATATCAGTTATCCTGGTGCTTTTGATGTTCATCTGCTCTCCAGATGAATTTGTTACAAGACTAATAATAGCTACTCTTCATCCTCTGCTTTCCACTGAGTGTCTTGTTAAGTTTATATTAGGCCATTACAGTTTAATACAATCTTAATTCTGATTAGTCATTGGGTACTAAAGAGATAACAGCTTGATAGAAGGTAGCTACATTATTTTAGGAGCTTTGGGGAAATGGGTTTCATCCATTCTTCATTTTCCAGCTCCAGACTTTAATGTAGTGTTGAAAGAAAAGTCCTCATCCTGGTTCATCCAAGCCGGGGATAAACAACATGGTGACTGCTTTAGAAAGAAGGTTGCAATTTATTGAAGAGCCAGACAGAAAGATGATTCTGGCAGGAAAGAGGAGAGAAAAGGGCTGAGCACATGTGGGGAGTGGCTTTTTATACCCTCTGGAGCCTTTTGTTTGGAGTTGCTATGAACTTTGACCTGAGTCTGAGTGTGCTTGTCTGGTATTCTGATGGTGATAGGTTAATCCTATTATGTCCCAAAGGTCATATCCTGCTTTCCTGGGGCTGGGACTGATGGCTCTTAGAATTTGGATGGGGTATGTAGATTTTAGGTCTTTGTCTTCTTAAGCTTCTAGCTCCCAGAATTTACATCTGTATCTCTATAGAGCTGGTTTCTGCTTGGGGAAGGAAGACCTAAGAATATTAAGAAAACAAAGCATGCTTTCCTGCCTCTTCAAGATCCTGTGAGGAAATATATTTTTCTGCCCTTTTAATATTTCCTTCTCTGGGGGGCTGACTTCCCACAGTAGGACATAAGTAACACAACAAAGATTTCTTAATAGATTTTCCATTTTTAAGTCTCTTTAAACTTCTAAATGTCTTGCACTGCAGGTTCACCCTGAATTGCTAGTTTCTGAGTTTGGTTGCACCTATTCTGAGTCTCTTATTATTACTTGTTGAGAGTTGGCATACAAGTTTAATAAATTGTTACCCTGCCTGAAGCTCATTTACATTTGTATCCTAAAACATAGTTTCCCTTTTTGGTTTGACTTCACTCCATGAAACCATTCCCTTCCACCTCTTCTCTAAATAAGATATACCTGTTCACTAGTGTTTTTATAATTAGACAAAAATGGTGAAACATATATATGTATATACCAAATTAAAGTGGTTTTTGCCATTAAAGTGATCAAAAATTATGTTAGCCTAAACAGATTTCTGCAATTTCTTTGGAGAGTCAAGAATAGCCCATCTGGTTCTAGATCTAAGTGTTTTGGACTGCAATTCCCTCAACTGGTATTAGCCACGTTGACTGCCACAAAGATGTAAATGTTTGGAAAGCACTAGATCGGGTGGGTAATTATGACAACTGTGGACTCAGGAATTTTGGGAGTTGAAGTTCACAGGTCTTGAAGTTGGCATAATTGCCCATCCTGCATTAGATGATCTGGTCCTGAGGTGGATCTTTTTTAGTTTACTGTAGCAACTTTATTTTAAGGAAGCTGGAAATCCAGGGTTTATTTTTATAACACGGACCAAAAAAAAAAAGAAAAAAGACAGCTGTTGCCTTCTAGTGATACCTAAAATGCATAGTTGAGTTAAAGTTATCTTGAGGAAATTGTAAGTATAATTTTAAGATGCTAAAGAGTGTTGGGTTTTTTTTCAGAGCTATGTAGTCAACCTGAATTTTAGAAGTTGAAGTCTGGAAGATTTAAATTTGCAAAGGTTTAACTCATCTATAAATTGATGATTTAGTATAGATACAATAGGATTTTGTGAACTTCTACTCTTTTGTGACTGATCAATTTACTTCTAGTCTTTTGTGACTGATGAACAACAAGTTTTAAACTTTTAATCTAAAAATGTTATAACTATGGAATAAAATTTAAACTTTATTTCTAAAATACATGCATTATTTAAAACAGTTTATATACAAAGTTAATTATTGTTTAAAGGAGCTTATGTATTTTTCTTTTCATGCAGGTTTCAGTAACCCAAAATACGTTGTATTTTTCAATCTTTTTTAAAAATTCTCCTTGTGAGTACCATATTGTATTATGGCTGCTTAAGCCCCTTGAAAGGACTAGTCTGAAGTTTGGGAGATAATTTTATGCATAGATATTCAAATTGGTTTTTGTCATTATGCAGGATAACTGCATCCACTTATCAAACATTATCTGCAATGATATTTTCATTAATGAATTTAAACTGCTGCTTTGGGATCGACATCTCCATAAACATATTAAATTCAGTAACGCTTTAATAATAATGCAGCCGGATTGAAAATTCACTACACTTAAGTGATAATATAAAAAAGACTATGTTCCAAGGCTGTTAAGAACTTTTGGTGACCAAAATTCCTTTGATCACATTTCACTGATATGTGTCAGGATAAACCTTTGAGGAATTTATTGTGAAGTGTTATTGAGTGAAATGGTATATTGATAAGGAAAAAATGGTTTCTTATTGTAAGGAGAAGTATTCAAAGATGTGCATTTGATTTAAATTGGCTTTTTTGTAGTACCATACATGTAGTCCCCACTTAGATCCATGATTTTGACCTTGCTCTTTCAGAAATAAAAGTTTAAAAAATATCCCTCCATTATTTTATTTGGAAATAATTAAGATTCTTGGAACAGAGGCCCCATGTATACAGACTTAATAATTAATTATTTCTTCAAACTTCCTTTATTTTAAATATGCTCCTCCCTCAATTTAGTAAGATTTATGTAATTATAGAAGAAAAAAAAGGAACTACAATATTTTATAACAAGTCTGGATTGTGAAACTGGGAAGAAGTTACCCTGTCAAAAAGGAACTCTTAAAGTGAATGGAATATTTTGTTTTTAAAAAGAAAAAGAAAATAAGCATTGCAATATAATGTTAACTTTCAGGTTTTTATTTTATTACGACCTGGAAGTTGGTAAGAATTGCACAAAATTATCTCCCAAACTTCAGACTCGTCCTTTACTCCTATCCTGTTTTATCTTCATCATGAATGTTATTGGCTCATTTCTACCGAAACTGAAGAATGACGCAGATGTGACAGAA